TGTACTAAACAATTAAGACCTTATTTGTAGCAACTGTTTAGGTGACATTATGTTTGAATTTGAAGGGAAAGATCTTTCCTGTTTCTGTTTTTGTACTCAACAAATAAGACCTTATTTGTCACGGAGGATTATAGAGTGTAAGCTTAGTGTTGCTTTTGAAACTGGTGTTGCTTTAGACTAGTTCTATTATAAAATTTGTTAATAGCATTACGAACTGGTGTTGCTTTTGAAACTAGTTCTATTGAAAAGTATGTCGTAATTCCTAGCGCTAAGCAAACTTTCGTTTGTTTATTTTTACTCATTGCCAGGCTTTCGTTAATAGCATTATAAACTGTCTTTCTTCCTTAGTTTGATTTAGGTTGATTAGGTGAGGAGGTTGCAATTATGATAGTAATTGTTAAGGTTTTGTTTATGACTTAAATTTAATAATGTGCTTGATAGCTCTCTACCTTTGTGGGGACCTCTCTACCTTTCTACATAGAAACTTTGCTCAATTGGTCGTCCAATTAGTAGAAAAAAAACTTGACATTAACTGCTATTTCATCATGTTCATGCGTGCATTTTACACTTGATCTTGAGGTTGATCTTATTTGATGAAGTTCAACCCTTTAAAGAATTAGGACATCCTCACTAACACAACTTATAAGTCGGGGGATTTCTTTTCATGACTCTGATACAAGTTGAAGTGAATAATTTTGAGGCTTTGATTCATTATAGTGCAGGTGCTGAGGTAGATGTAGTGTTGTACAGTGCATGACGAAATCAGGGGAAGTTCTAAATTACTAGGCATTCACGAATGATATTTTAGGTGTGGAAGACTTAAACTTTGGAATGTTTATTTTAGGTGTGGAGACTTGAACTTTGATGTTTATTTTAAGTTTGGACTTTTGGAAGATTTGAACTTTGATGTTTATTTAACTTTGGACTTTGGAAGACTTGATTATAGTTGAACTTTGAATTGAATGTTTATTTTCATTGTCTTTGATGATTCTATTAGAAATTTGGAATACTTATTTTGACGATTATGTTGAAATGAGACTTTGATTTTATTTATGTTTTCATAGAAATTTTTTTAGCTACTAAAACAAAAAAAAAAAAAAAAAAGAAAAAAAGAAACCGAACTAAGAAAAACCGAACCAAACCGAACGGAAACAAACCCACCCCTAGTTGCAATTGCATGCAAACCTGAGGGTGTAAAATGTAATTTATCCATTTTTTAATAGAAAAACTAATGAAAAAGGTTTGAAAAGTTTGGGTATTAACGATAAAGTCAAAATAAAAGATAAAGTGAATAGTACCATAATTGATTTTTTAGTGTAAAAATATAGTTTTTCGTTAAAGTGAACAATACCAGAAACTTTTCGTTAAAACTCTATTTTTTTAATTATATCTAATGATTTTTTAACAATGATTATACTAATCGTGAGGACTTTGCCTGGCCTATTTTGTTATTCTATATTAAACTCATTATTTCATCTCACATGGAGAAGGGTCCCCTTGTAGACCCGGGCACACCACATTTTTTATGATTGTGAGTGCATGTGTTCATAAACAGTAGCTTTAATATTGCCCTCACAAACCATGTATGAATGCCATGTATAAGAGAAAATGATATATTTTATAAGTGCTTATAAATAGGTACGTGATACTATATTATCAATTGACGTGGAACTTTAATTTTTTATAGTATTAAATTAGGTTATCTCATATGTGGAATCCAACAGCTACATGTGGTCTATGTAACTCAACTTCTGTTGTTCATGTGTTAAGCTTAAACATTCATCACACATGAGAGAACGTGTTGAGAGTATGAATCTCATATCGAAGAAATGAGAAAGCTTATGTGATTATAAGTAATTGAATTACTTCACATCAGGACGGATCCACCTTGGGGCAAGGTGGGTCAGCTAACCCGCCAGCTCATAAATCCTTCATGGATTAGTTGGGTGATGTCTATTGAAAATCTAAGATGCCCTTAAAAGCTGTCCTCCAATTGCTTGACGAATTTTGCTTATATGGGCACTGGACAAGGTAATTGCTAACCTCATGCGTTGTATGTGTTGCTAAGAGCATCTGCCAATAGGCTGACTCAATATATGTTGGCATCTGTTGGCATACTCGCTTAAAGACTATTAGTATCAGTCGACATGCTTGCTCGAAAGCTGTTGACATCTGTCAATAGGTGCACAATATAACTTGACAAATAACCTCAAGCCTACAATGCCCAATGTAATGTCAATTTACATGCAATTTCGTCCAAAAAATTTTGCACGCGCTATTCTTACTAAATATCAAGGTCCATAAAAAATTGTACATAACGCAGAAGGTCACTATAAGAACCTCAGGAATTAGGGCCTGTCGCTTTGGCAGAAAGGGATTGACGAAGACAACACATCAGCTTCCGATATTTGCAACCGCCAATATTGCTACTCGTCTGTTGCTCTTCTTGTTTGCCTACAAACACAAGAAATAAATAAATTATGTCCATCAGAGGAAATTTCTGGAAATCAATGTGTGGGTCAATTTCATGAGTACCCCAATTATTATACCTTTTTCCTTTTTGCAAGAGATGCGCCTAAGGTAATTGAATTCAGGTGCCACATGGTTAGTAATAGAAGCTGCAATTGGTCCAGGTATAGAATGAATGATGAAGTATGTTTCTCGGCGATCCCACATAAACCAATATACTGATGGATCTCCAGCAATGGTATTAGGGTAAAAAGATATGTGGTGTAGCTCTTCTCTCCTTGCTCGTACACAACCTGGATGCCACTCTTCTTACCCAAATCTCCGGTCGCGGAAATACCTTAAAATCAACTTCATCGCCGCCCTCTTAATTTATCGCCAAGCTTCTAATGGCTTGGCCATGTCACATCTTCTTCATCACTAGGAACCCCAAAGTACAACAGGCCATGCATCCACGCTACACCGCTAGTATTATTTTCGACGACCCATTATCGGTCTAAGGATGATGTAAGGTTTTTCAAAGAAATGTGAGTTATAATAAAACCATGATATCGAATATGTTATGAGGATTAATTGGACTTGTATTAATAATGGACTTACAGGTATTTTAATCATGATAAAATACATAAGAGGGAAATTATTAGAACTAAATATAATGGAATAAGAGCTGGTTACAAACTCTTAAAACCGCAAACACTGCTGCTACCACAATAGGTGGAGCAATTGTGATCCCATGTAAATAAAACTACAGTATGGTCTCTCCTCTTGGACACTAAGTTTATATACACCAACCATATCGAGAGTGAAACTATTCTGAGTCCTAGAGAAGAGAAGACACTGCGAAGGTCTGTTCACAGTAACCTTACAGTCTGTCCTTTAGGGTTTGTGTTTATTGCCTGATTCTCATGCGTGGCTAATCCTGCAATTAAGTCCTTCATCTTTTACTTGAATATTTATACATGTTGACAACGATAAAATATATAAATGTAGTCTAATGATTTGGTTGATCATGTTCTTTTAAGTATCAAAATGCCAATAGATGAATCACTACTAGGAAAAAATACTTTCCACAGCATCAATTGATAGAATTTTTTTTTTGTTTACTGCTAAAAAAAAAAAGTTTTAATAGCATTGTTCAAATTTTTATAGCGTTTTACAGAAAATGCTATTGATCTACATAATATGTTGAAAGTCATAAAAATCTCTCCCAGCCGCGTGAGAGCTTTCTCTCTGAGTGAGAGTTTTTCTCACTGTGTGTGAGTGTTTCCTTTTTTAGTCTCTAGTTCAGCTGCCGGCCTTAGCTTCGGCCACGACCGGTGGCAGTTCCTTTCGTTTTTCTTTTTCTGTTTCCTCCCCTTTGTTTTCAATTGGAACCGCTCCTTGCCCTAATTGGAAAACTTTGTTTCGTTGTCTCCCTTTTCTTCTCTCCACTTTATTTTCCCCTACATGCATCCACATTTTTCACCTTCTTTCCCTCCCACCTGTGATCGCTCTCTGTCGATTTCACTTTGGATCGGATCTGCTCCTATTTTGTTCTACCATATTCAACGCCTTTATCGGAAGGTGCGTAGAGCCTCAGCTCTGGTGTTTGCACCACCACCTTCCACTTGTGTGTTGGTCTCGGCACTGTTGTCAATGGTTCCACTGGCTTCCTCCCCGGTTTTATACCATTGGTGGCGGCGGATTGGTTCTATGTGGAGTTCGATGGAGGACGTTGATGTCTGCTTCTTTTTTTGTTGTTTGGGCTTGGTTGGTCTTCACCTCTGGTGTTTGTTGGGTTGTTGGTTCATGGTCGCTGGAGTTTGCTTTGATGGCGGCAAGGGAACTAAGTGACTAGGGTTTTCAGTTTTTTTTCGTGTCTTTCTTTTTTGGGCTCAACCCTTGGGTTGGGTTGTTGTTGTTGTGCTGGCCCATTTTTTGTTTGTGTTTAGTTGTGGGCTTTTATTTTGTATGTAAGTTTCTGGTAATTAAAGTTTACCTTTTACCAAAAAAAAGGTAAGTTAGTACTATTCATACAACGAGGAACATATTTAATTGAATTTGGTGACATGTATACAAGAAACATGATTCAATTAACTCATATTCGAGGACAATATCAATAAGACTATCCATAACTAAAATACACCAAATGTGAATCCAAGAACACAGAAAAATGTTCACAAAGTAAATCAAAATTACTAAGGGGATTTGGCCAGCAAGGCCATTCATGTCAAAATTCTGCTCTTTTAACGGTGTTCGATAGAGCAAAATTAATCTCACATATTGACTACTAGAATGGTACTTCTCAACAACATCATGCCGGTTTAAGTGACGGCTGCATTTAAGAAAATCGAAATACTAGAATTTATCTAAAGGAAATTTAAGTAGTCCACCACAACATGTTGCCCATATTTCATCGTTATCTATATGATCATTATGTCTTCGATATTTAATCGGATCAATAAACTTCACAAGTGGGTCCCGTTTTATAATAATTTGCCTCAATGCATAATGGCCAAACAAAAATAAACTGACACAGTGGAACTCCGTGGTGGTATTCGAGACTAACACAACATAGACTAAAACTTGGTTTGGCTGCCAGAGCCTTTACCATTAGGCCGGAAGAAATGTACAGAATCTATTAAACTTATATAAAATTATGTTCTGCCGAAAGGCCAGCGAATGACAATCCATACGCTGAGGTGCATTCAACAATTCAACAGAGTCAGTCGGCATAAAAATCCCAGAAAGCCGCCCGTTCATAAGAAATCAGCAAAAGGCAGAACGCAAACGAATTATAATCTCAGCAGTTGGTTACATATGTTGAACATGTGAAGAGGCTGAAGATTAAAAGCAAAAATAATTCCCCACTGCGCAATATTCAGGCAATCCTTTAAAGTTACAATGGTTATCGACGTCATCCTGCAGAACGAAAAGTTTTCTTCCCCTAACAACCCTCCCAATAACCTTTCGATAACTAGCCTGAGTATCCTCCCAATTTATACCCGAGTTACAGTATGAAACTCCAGATGATCTAGATGATGACCAGAGTTAAGTGACTAAATTTTTCAAGAAAGGTAGACCGTTTTCTCTTCCTTTCCCACTAGCATATGTCTAGGGAGGCTTCTCTCTCATGACGGTTTAGTAAAACCAGGCACTGACAGAAATGGTTTCCCCAATTAATCACACAACGCTAGCTTATAACGCCTCGCTTCCAAGTTGCGATCTTGGAGGGATGCGTGATACTAGAAAATAATCTCTCTCAATATACGCTATTTACAAAACAAACCCAAAAACATATTGATAGGGAACCTAAAACAAAGATGACCAAGAAAGGTTCCCATCATGAGATAGCAGCATAGAAGAATGATGTCACTCACACTGCAAAATACAACAGCAGGAATAATGATCATCTCAAATACAAATCATCAGTCTATCCTTTTTTGCAAAAAGAATATTTCACTGATACTAATTAGAAGTCAGGTGAGAACAGACATAATCCAAGATGTTAGATGTTTTTGGATCAGCAGTGATGTTAGCCACTGATACAACATAACAGGAACGAACGAAAGAAATCATATATACACTCTCTTCCTAAACCTATTTTTCCTATAACTGGAAGCTACAAACTCTCCCTCACAAATTATAAATTCTGGACTTCTAAAAAATGCTAAAAATATCGTAAAACCGTGGACATACTTATCAATGTGCCATGAAAACAGAATAGTTTTTTTTGCAAACTACTGGAAGTCATATTAGATCATTGTTATTATACAAGGAAGTTCACTTTCACTAACTCTTACCTTTAATCCCCATATTTTTTCAGCAGGTGAATTCACCTTCTTCACAATCTTTAGTCAGTTCAGAAGTTATTCTGCACATAAACCAAAAGTATCATGCATCTAAGCTCCATGGCAACAATACAATACTACACATAAGCCTATTAAAAACAGCAAGTTTGTCAAACAAGAGAGTGGAGGTTTTGGCATAACGTAATTGTTTTAACCCATATCTGCGCATACAGAGTACTTATAAGAACCTAAAAAGCCTACAGAACTACATCAAACCCAAACTCTTGGCAGTCCCCAAATGCATATTTTTCAACAACACAAGAAATGAATATTGTTTTTACCATAAAGATGAGGTGAAGAGTGCAAACGTGCATTGCATTTGACAAACATTAACTAGTACTACATCTAACTTCCTAAAACTAAATAAATCCCTTTAACTCATTCTTTAACTTGCCTTCATATTTATATATCCTTATTTCCATGCCAACCTCAACTGATCGCATTTTACAGAGAACATAAAGCCCTATCAAGTGTGAATAAAAATGAGTAGTTGACCCATCAGTTTGTGAAGAGGAAAGAAATAAAATAGTGACAGTGCAATGCAGAAGCTAAACGTACAGAGTATCTTAATCAAAATATACAGAGAACGTAAAGGTGTGTACCTCAAGAAATACAAAATCAAGTGTAAGACCCCTCCAGACTGAATGACAACCATTTGAAGAAAACAAAATTACTAAAATATCCCCTCGTTTCAACCAGCTACCTTGATTGCACCCACTTCATCAAGTTTTGAACTCTTATGCTGAAAAGTTAGTGGGAAACAGAGACCTTGGTTAAATGTAGATGCAAAGGAGCTATACAAAAATAGTGAGCATATTATGCAGATCCCAAGCAAAACATTAAAGGAAGGATTGGAGATACAAAAGTATAATTCCAAACAAAAAGTTTCATTTTTATATTACCTTACTTTTTTTGTGTCTGTGGACATCATTAAGGTCTTCATCTCCATCGTGTTTCCTTTTCTGTCATTATACAAGTAACAAAACTAAAGCCTGTAAATCCCTATGAATATTCAACTAAATTTGAAAAAACAAAAAATATGGTGTTGGTGAACGAAAAAACTGGAATTAGATTGCACGACAAACAATGGCAGTTCATGACTCCAGACATATCAGAGCTATTTGGATAAAAATTTCACATTCATTCTTTTCAAATTTAACGGTATGAGTGTACCATTTTCTAACCTTTTCATGTTTCTTTGAATGATCACCGGACGGATCATGATGCCCACTTTTATCCTTCTTCTTATCCTTGTCTTTATCTTTGCTTCGATCTTTATGACGGTGTTTATGCTTCTTGTGCTCTTTATCCTTCTCTTTGTCCCTGTCCTTGTGCTTTTTGTGTTTCTTCTCCTTGTCTTTAGACTCGCTCTTTGATTTCCCTGCAATAGTTGGAGTCCCCTTATCCGCCTATGGAAGACAAAACAAGATATCAATTACAATGAGAACCTGGAAAGGAAAACGTTTTTGCAGGACCACATATCTATTGGAAAAGAAGATAAATAACAGACTATCATCCAATATAAGTAAGAAAGTCTCACGAGTGGTAGATCAATAGGAGCCGTTTCTCTAAGATGGAAAGCCTCTCTGAGAGTATCTAGTTCAAAAGGCTGTATGCGTAGTTTTGTATCCCGGGGATATGATGTACTCTGAATAAGTTGATCCAACTGCATCCCCTCTCCTTTTCTGATTTCTGTGTCTCCAACCACATTGTGAAGATAGTGTGTGTCTGATATTGATACTGGAAGTGGTCGCTTGCAGAAAAACTCATGGTGGGGAAGTAACTTGTAGTGACTTATGAGATCTACAGCACCAGTCAACTCCTTTGGTCCTATATCCAACAAAATTTCATCAGATAAGATAAAATGCTCTTAAATATCAAAACATGCATCCAGTGACATTATAGAAGCAAAAGACTTGAATTATCGGTAGATTGAAATAAGATATTTTACGAGAGAGTTATTATGAAATTTAGAATATCCGAAATTAAATTTTAAATATGTACTGGGATCTCATCCAAGAACCAGATAGGGCAGGGTGGATAGAGACCATATGGCTCTCTGATAAGTTCAAAATTTGGTACTATACATGAATAAATGAGGTTTTGAAGAGTGCTTCAGCTATGAATACTTCTGTTAAATATGTAATTAACTACCAATAAAAATTCAACCAAGAAGGGAACGTGAATAAACTTGTAACGGAACACTATATTGAAAAAACATTCTACCTCGTCCAAACTTCGTTCCTTCAGGATCCATGGGTCAATGTCTCATGAAGTGGTGGAGCACTAACAACTGTGACGTCACATACAAATAACACATGAGTTTTGACAAACCATAAATACTGCAATGAGTCATAAAAATCCAAAATATAAAACGGGAACATCTTAAAAAAATTTCTCCAATAAAGAACATGTTCAAAGTTTTTCTCCAATAAGTACAATAATGTCTGAGTATAATATATCCAGACAAAGTGGTGCAAAGTTCAGGACAAGGTATTCCTAAGTAACCTTGTGTGATCCAAGAGACATCTTTTTTTCCTGTGTAACTCAGAACATACCTAGTACTTCACCTTCTATCGAAGCCACTCAAATATCTAATATCCAAAAGGGATAACTCGGGAGGGGAAAAAAGCACCGCACACTAAACTGTATGCATGACTCATAAGCAAGCCAAAGTATATAATACCGAGCTTCCTATTCTTATTTCTCTCCCAGAGACCCAAAATAAAACAGTCCCGCAAATTAGTACAGGGGATGCTCTTACAAAACTCAAAAGAAAACACTGAAAAAATTAATGTTGACTACTCAACAAGGTTGCCGGTGTCCACAAAAGAACTCGGAATACTCCATTTGCTAATCCAACAAAGATTTTGCTTGGTTCTTCCTACCATAGATTCAATAAGCAGCGCCAATTCTTATGACTGTCACTAATAACTCTACACACACCGCCGTTGTAACTGAACTAGGGCAAGCAGCTAAGTACGCGACGAGGTTTCAATTTCACTACCACTGACATAAATTTGAACGCCATACTTTCTTAACTAAACGTCGTGAAAACTGCCACATTTTTGCCACTCTGATATAAAATTCTAATCTTTTCTCACAAGGCTAAGCTTATTCTTCAAAGATTTCTCCTTTCTTTGTTCTCTCTTGCCCTAGTCAATAAATCTCTATTCTTGCTGAAACTACCGATAAAGACACAACGAAATCCCGCAACTTTTCAGGATAACCCAAAAGCAAATCTTTCAACAAACAACAAACAGAACCGATAGAAAGAAACAGAAATTCAAAGCTTTGAAACCAGTAAGAGAGAGAAAGAGAGGGAAAAAGGGTAAAACAAAAAGCAGACCTCTGACATGGACCCCGAATTGATCTCGAACTAGTAGTGAAAATCGTAATTCCAGCTCGCTCCTTCTTCCTCCTGCGGTTGCTCAACACTTCGAAAGCTGCCCAAGTACCAAAAGTCCAAGCCCCAATTGAGTGATTGACGAACAGAGGTCGAAGAACCAAAACGCCCAGCAGAACACGAATAGGGTTAATTGTGCGGGGAATTGTAATTGACCTGCGAATGGAAGCAAATTAGGGGATTCCCAATCTGCTGGGGTTTGGAGTTTGGGAGGAGTGGGAGCTGAAATTGTCGAAATTGTCAAGTTAGGGCTTTTGCAGATCGAGAAGGTTCGAGAAGAGCGAAGGAGAGAGAAAGTCGAGTATTGGTCTGTATGAAGGTGGTGGGGAACACAGAGGACCAGAGTGGTGCGAGAGAGAGAGAGGAGTCTGTAATCTAAAATCTAATGATTTACAGATAAAACTAAAACTAGGGTTTGGACTCTTGGAATAGGAGGAGGGGTTTCGATTTCTATTTCCAGGCTCCCTCTCACTTGGGATTTTTCAATTTTTTTTTTTTTTTAATATAATAGTTTTGGACCACTTTTGGTCCCTTTTTTGCCATTTTCCTTATGCTTCCCAAACAAAACATGGGCATTTTTGGGTTTATCGCTCAAGCGGAACACTTGATTAGGCGAATATTGGTTAATTGTTTCTACCTTTGTAATCAGTACTTACACATATTTGACTGCTAAGTTATTCAATTTAAATCGTTAAAATTAATTCAACAATTAAATATATGTCGATAATAAATGTCTATTGATGGCCTTCCATCATATCATCTATATCTAAAAAGAGGAACACACAATTTTTTATTTTTTATTTTTTACCGGAACACACATTTTGTATATTTTGTCCAAGAAGCTTTTAGTTTTACTTTTTGTGAGAAAATTTTAGATTTGGAATTGGAGAAAGAACAATAGAAACATTTTGGAATACACATCATGTATATCAGGGATGGGTTCAAAAAGCCGAAAACTGAAAAAAAAAAAAAAAAAACAAACAAACAAACCGAATACAGAACCGAAATCGAAAAAACCGAATGAATAAAAAATCGAACCAAAAAGTTTTGGTTCGGTTTCGATTTCAGAGGTTTAAAAACCAAACTGAACTGAATTGTCTTAAAACGACGTTGTTTTACAAGATTTCTTATAAAGCACTTCACATACATAATGTTGAATACACTTCACTTTAAAATTTAATATTAAATGACTTATATATCTTAATATGCAATGACACTTTCGACTTGAATTGTTATTAGCACTCCAAAAATTTCATTCTACATTCTAAACTTTCTATATTAGGAAAGAAAAATACACTTATGAGGAGTGTAGAATGAGATTTTTGGAGTGCCAATAACACTTCCCTTAATTTAATGGAGATTTCCCACAATGTGGACAATCTCAAAAACCACTTCTATCGATTTTAAATATCAAAGATCAAAATGAAGAGTTATGTCAATCTCATGAACCATTTTGGATAATGTATGTAGTTCCAAATTCAAATCTGGTAAACCTGCTTGAACACGAAAGTCAAATTAAGTAGTCTTTCGATTAGTATATATATAACATCGTAAAGTATCCACGATACAAAGGTTTATCAATGAAATCTTTAATTTGATTCAGTCCAATTGAGAAATTAGAAAAATTATGGTATTACACCGGTCTTCAACTTCACATTGAAGGTGCCTTAGATGACATTATGTATTACTACTATTTGCACCTAAGATGTAAAGAGTGCGAGGTGTATATTTTGTGTAGAAAATGTAAAGTGTATGTTGAGAGTGTGGGATGTTATTGTATTATAAGGAAGTATGTAAGGGTGTATTAAGATAAGTTTTAATAAAAAATAAAAAACAAATGTGAGGTGTATTAAGTATATGGGTGTATTCAACAATATGTAAGGTGTTAATATATCAAACTAATTAATTTACAAGTGTGAAAATGTAAAAAAATTATGCCAACGCTCGTGATCACATCCTCTACGCTTTGACGATAAATACATCGTTGTTTGGATTATTTAAACTGTAGAAACCCCATGACCAATGTTTTAGGGGGAGTTAAAAAATAATAAAATTCATAATAATTAATTTACAAATGCGAAAAATATTATGTTAATTTGTATGTGACTGAGAATGCGATGTCTTTGAGTTGGTATGTTCAATATACCAAATCAATGACGCGAAAATGTAATCAGCCAAGGAGGTACAATCAAGCAACAAATCATGAAATATGTACAAGTCCGGCCCTAAGGGTAGCCCAAGTAGGCGCCCGCCTAGGGCCCCCACTTCAGAAGGGTCGCCAAAAAAAATTTCTATCCTGTAATTAACATATAAATACAAAACAAACTAAAAAATTATCATAATTCATTTGTTAGTGCAGTGGAAATTTTGGCTCCATTTTTCTTCGGGGTGTTGAGTTCAAAACACGAAGTTGCCTTCCAGTCATTAGATTTCTCTTAATTTTATTTTATTTTTTTTTCAAATTTACTGTCAATTCATTTGTCCAACTCCTAAATGCATATAAAGTTATAAAACTCAAGTCTCTTTGCAATCTTTTTTCTTTCAACTTCTCATTCTCTCCATTTCTATCGAATGTTTAAACCAACTATCATATGGTCTTAAAGATTGTACTTTAAGGTAATCAAAACTTTGAATTTTATATTTTTCTTTTCAATAACTTTTTATTCAATGGATTATTTTAATATTCAATTCGTTAGTATGATGTTGATTTTAGAAGAAAAAAAAAACATAAGAGAAACATTTGGCATTGAATTTATTATACTCATCAATCAAGTTTTATTGTTATTTACTCTCAATCTTAGAACTTGTTATGTATTTAGCGAATTCTTTTTTATACAAATCAATATACAAAGAACCGTACAAATCAATATACAAAGAACCGGAGATCAGAGAATTTTAGGGTCCCACTTCGAAGGCTCGCCTAGGGCCCCCAACTTCTCAGGACCGACCCTGTACAAGTGTATCATGTAACATGACAAACACCAAAAACTCAATGTTGTTGTGAACTTCTCCTATATCATTTCAACTCGTAATCGAGGTTTTGTGCTCATTTCTCGACAAGCACGGTTCATGGAGTTCATGGCAACTTTTAGAACTTTTTTTTTTTTCCGATTTTTCTATGATTTTATATGAATTTTACACTTTATATGGCACATGGCAGCTTGAGATTCGTTGATACAACTTTTCTCGAGTTTTTTGCATCAAAATGACAAGCACCCTGCAACGAGTCCGTAGCAACTTTTGGAATTTTTTTCCTTCTGATTTCCCCTATTTTATATGAATTTTTAAAATTTTATTTATTTTATTTCTCACTGCCACGTGGCAGCTTCTGGGTCATCATTAGGTTTAGGATTTTATTTCATAACATGTCATAAATAATCATCCAAAACAAGGGTATCACAAACTATCATAAGACTTGCATAACTTTGTCGAACAATACATAGACTAACAGATACAGTTCTAAAATTTCTCCAGTATTATCCAAAAATCTGCAACCCCTCATGCGGAATGAAGGCACGTTCGAAGGATGTAACAAACGTTTCAACACAAAAATTTGCATAAGCCCTGAAACACTAGACAAAACCATGGTAGTATTAGTTCCTTAGCTCTCTTCAAAGCAAACATCTAACATCCAAGATCAATTACCAAGAGTGTCTCTATCTGCAAAATACAAAGTCCAAGTTAGGCAGGTGCGTATGGAAATATTGCTTGTACGATTAGACAAATGAAATATGTAAAAACCACACACGGAGAGCATATCGTACCGTATGTTTATTGGTGCAAGTCCGGCTACTAGTTACAACTTCTTCGATAGTCAATAAGCATAACATCCTCTGTACTTGACTTTACAAGGCACAAAGAACATGTATATATGCTACAAGGTACAGTTCAGATACGATCCAAGAAGATGCAAGAGAAGTATTAAAGACATTGCAAATGGAGAAGAAAGAGCATGATTACCCCTTCTTCGATAGTCAATAAGCATAGCATTTTCTATGCACATAAAAGGTCATAATTCAACAAACTGCTGCTGCAATCGTGGTTTGAGCATGACCAATTATGACCTGTTATGTGCATAGACATAAGCTGATAAACATATGGATACAAAACGATTATGCTCGTCCGAATTCACCAAATTTCCCACATCACCTTTCTACTGCACAAAGCTAAGTCATATCTGTTGCTTCAGGTAAGGTGTTGTGTAGTTAGGTAAGCAAGGTTTATACATTAAGCTGAAAGTACACAATTAAACATGGGAGAAAAGGAAAACAAAAGACATAAAGCAGAAAGTATACCATATGCATTATACCATTTCCCTCCAATTTTACCATGCAACGGAGCAACAGTATTAAGCTGAGAAAAAATACTTTGCATCCATGCTAATCTGAGAAAAAGACGTTATTGAGAATTTCTTATCAACCCATACTCTTTTTCAGCATCCTCACCAAATTCAAGATGAAAATCTGCTTCTAAGTTCCATTTTCCTCGTTTTCTTTTCAGCAACTCAACAAGTACGATCACCGATGTACCAGGCCTACAACGAAATAATGCCGGTCATGCAAATTGTGAGTTTATTTTACATTACCAGCAACATGGAAAATGCTCAAATTCAATATAAATCATATCATCAATGCGTAACTAAAGATGAATATAAGCTTTTATATTGCCTAGAGAGAGATTCAACTACTTAAGACTCAAACTTGGAGTGAAATCAGTGAGCAGCTTAGGAGAGGCTGTTGAGAATTAAGCTTCTCACTAATTTGAGTTTAACCTGCAGATGCTTGAATCCTGCAGATGAAGAAGAAGATGAAGTGACTTTCCTTGTTTAGTAGTAGCCGTTAGGCTTAAATTTTGTAACGGCTAGTTTAGTCCTCTATTTTAGGAAAGATGAACAGCCGTGTTTTATTCTTATCCCTATTGTACTGTGTTGCTGGATCCATTCCAAGTGGAAGGATCCCAGCGCCTGATGCACTAGAGGGCTGAGATTGGTTTCTGAAATCAGACCTATCCAAGCTTCTATATGCTAGGGTTTTTTTCTTGTTAAAGATATATATGCAAAGAGAAATCCGCTTCACTCTCTCTCGCCTCCCTGCATTTCGTTTCATCTTTGAATCCCAGTTTTTCTCAAAAGTTAAAACCTTTTAAAACAAAATCGACCATGGCCTGGTACCATTTCAACAAAAAGGAGTACATCTACTCGATTTACTTCACTTGACTTTTATCTCCGATATTCCAGATCCTCCCCAAGAAAATCCTTTTGAGTCAGTTGAATTGATCCGATCAGTGAAAAAGCTTCATCAAGCGGGAATTAAGTTTAAGAAAGGGGAAGCAACCAGCTTCTAAGATATCAGATTCTGCAACGGAGTGCTAGAAGTTCCGCAGATAACAGTGGACGATTTCCGTGTCCATCTACTCCTGAATTTCGTTGCATTTGAACAATATTATAATCATTGCCACAAGCACATAACCACTTTTGCTGTATTCAT